TATTGCTCCCCAAATTTGAAGGGGGGGGGGGAACAGCAATACAACATATAAATATTAATAATTAGCTGTACAGAAATGACATTAATAAGTGCCCTGTTGCTAACATTTTACTCCAGTCCAAGGAACTGCGTGACCAAAAATTAATCAGCCGAGCTTTCTGAATGCATTTACCACCATTCTCTTCCCCCAAAGAAGCCCTGAACCCAAGATTAAGTAATTAATTTCTGTTCAATATAATTCATGATGTATGAAAGAAAAAAACCTCTTAATCCAAACTGTAAAAACCTCTTCCAAAGCAGATAGCAATAATTGCACATTGCCTCCAACTGCTTTATTTTATTTATTTAACACCTCACCACGCGATTCATTTTCTTTTATAAGCCTCTCTCCCTTAGGATGCCATCACCCAGGAGAGGAATGACTTATTTGGCTGAGGAACAACTCCAAAATGAACCCAGAATGAGCTATGGCCATGTAAAATGAATGCATAGCAGTGTAAACAATTTTAATTTAAGAACGCAGCTACATCAACCCTCACTGCAATTCTAATGGCAACCAAGATTTATAATGTTGTAAAAACCAATTATTCTCCCCTTGATTAATACATTAACATTTTCGAATAGAAGCTAAACCATTGTCTCTCTCCCTCCCCCCCCTTTTTTTTTGTTGAGTCAAACGCGACACCTCCATTAAAATGATTTACTAGCCATACCTTACAATTTAAGCACAGCAGCAACAGAAACGGTAAAAATCTTTTAACTTTACATGATTTGTGAAGTCATATGTGAAGGATTTACCATTTAAATCTTTCACTACAAGAAGCACATGGCCTATAAATCTGTCCTGCATGCAGTTGCCCAGACACCTAAGAGAAATGCATTTCACCAGGAAGACTGAGAGTGCAAATTCAAGTCAATTTTTAAGAAAGATTTATCTCCGTCTCTCTCCAAAGAACAGAGCAAATCTCTGAAGCCTCCACCTCTAATAATATTTGAAGTTTATCGATCAAGCGTACAGATCCGTGACAGCTAAAGGTAATGGTGCTCTTTTGAGCTGAAACCTGATACAATGCTTTCAAGCAGGCGCTCAGGATTTACACTTTCTATCAATATTTCCAATTCTGTTCTAAGATTAAGTACTAAGGGACGTAAGTAAATAACACATGACCAAGAGCCCTATAAAATGTCTTTTAATTAAAACAATTTAACTTAAAAAACCCCTTCATGTATTTCTTCAAGTAACCTTTTAAAAGCAGTAGCTTTGGCAAAGGCTATGGGATGGCAGGGTTTAATTAGGTCAAAGTTAGGGGCTCATTAAGTGACAAAACAAAGAACAGCCTATTAGCACCACGCTAAATGAATCCCCTTCAGCAACTTATCTAATAAACTAAACTAAGTGTGGCAAAAAAGAGTCCCTCGTAAGCCAAAACATTTGCTTTCACATCATCTAAATACAAGTCATTTAACTGTGGTAAGAGCATGCCAGAAAAATGTGAAAGCACGTTAAAGCCCTGTGTTCAATCCCCAGCAATAAAGTGCCTCCCAACAGCATGTACATCATGGCCAAGTTGTTCCTTAGAAATTCATGATTAGGAAAAATGAAATGCAAAACATGAAATGCAAAATTATCTCTTATATTATAATGACAGCATGCCCTCAAAGGACAAAACCTAACAGGAAAGCAACCCATGAAACATTTTACTCACTTGAAAAAGCATAAACACAGATCTCTCAATGAGGAGAATTAACTAATCTTGAACTGTCAACAGCGTCAGATCCAATGAAAATTACTGTCTTTCAAGTCAGTATTTCACAGCATTCTGAAGGAGACCAATAACTATAAGCAGTTAAGAAAATGGTGTGCATCCTAGTAACAGCACAGAAGGATTTCTAGTTGCTGAGCCAAACCACCCAAAAAAAGCCTCCTCTAGGAAGGGAATTTTTCTATAAACCCTAGTAGAAACCAACTGTATCATAAATACTTCCCAGCATTCGCTGCTTACATTCCTTGCTAGATGATGGGAAAGCTGTGCCCCATGGATGCACAGCTGTTTGACAGGGCAGCCCTTCGCCAGGGCAGACTCTGTCGTCTTTGTACAGAACAGCACCTGAGGATGCCGTGGTAGCCTTAGCTGTTCCAGGTAGCTCACACTCAAACTGAAATCTCATCATGGCTTTTGGCACAACTAATCAAGGCCTTTAAAGATTTGCTTTCCATAAAGCGACCAAATCTAGCTCATCCACTGCAGTAGCTGCTTTAGACAAATTCCACTCTGTATTCACCAGCACAACAAAAATTTCAGTTCATCTTCAAATAAACCATTCAGTGCCTGCACTGCTCAGTAACTTGGCAATATATGCTAAGTCCAAGAAGTGTCCTTTCGATCTGATGTTCGACTAACTGACCACACTGAAGTCCTTTGGCTGTGTTTACAGCAGCTACAGCTATCCCATTTTTAGACATTTAACACCAAGTTACGCTCATGAGCTTTCAAGACGGAAGCATCCCCAACTAGAAGGCTGAATATCTTGTTGGTATTTGGAACAGCTGAGGAGAATAAACACACCTTGTTATGATTCCATAACGTGCTCAGAGCAAAATCCTACATTTTTTCTTAATAGCCATCAATTCTAAAAGTTCTGGAAACACAACACCTGAACTTTTCCGTTGACGCACCTTATCCTACCAACACCAGCCTCAATACAGTTGTACCAAATCACGGTTGCAGAGAATCAGGCCTATGTTATTTGAAATGCTGTGCTGAACGCTGTCAAGTTCGACAGATCCTTTACGGTTTCTGCTCAGTTTGCAATTAATAGTACAGAGTCAGTATTTCCCTAAGAAGGGAATTTTGCGTAAAGCATGACAAACAGTTCTGGCCAGAAGAGTTTATGAAATATGATTTCTTCCACCAGAACATGCACCACCATTGTTTCTATTAAAACAGAGCTCTGCAAAGTGCAAGCTGCAAGTTTATGTCATTATGCGCATGGCTAAGTAATTCACCTGCAAGTTTATATATAAACATTGAATGTCATATGCTGAGGACAACTAGTGGTGGCTAACCATCTAAAATCAACTCTGTGAGGCAATCAACAGTGTACTTTTGCCTTAAAAGATAATAGGTTCATGTTTAGCTTAGATTATCACCTGAAAAGAATGGTTCTTCATGTCTAACTGCAAACACACTAAATGTTTATTCTGCAGCAGTGCCACACGTATTTGTCAATTTTAACAGCATTACCTAACAGCAAAATATATTCATACATTTGCTTCCACTTTATTACTAGACCTCAACATTTTTTCACCGGAAGGATAGTATACTGGCCAAAGTAACATGCCAATGCACTTGCACCTTATCTGCTGAGCCTTCCACAAAACTGCCATCCCTTGGCCTGCAATGCGCTCATCTGTATTTTGCGACTTAGGATGGGAGATCTATTTTCACTTGCACAGTGGTATCATGATGCAGGCTGTTAGGAATAGTGAATGCCTGGTAACTCCTGCGATCCAAAGTCAACATTTTAAACTTTGTCTTCACAGGTGAAAGAGACAGACGCTGTCTTCACAATAAATATACCCTATTTAGAAGCATTAAAATACTTGCACCCAATCAGACGATCTTCCTCATCTCTTTTGTATGTTGCATCAATTTGTTCTGCAAAGATAAACTACCTACAATTCTTAAAAAAATTTTTTTTTCCTGAAAATTCATGACTCAGCAGTCTCAGGCTCCCCTCCCCCCCTTCCCCCCCCAACAGGAAAGTGAAAACAAGACAGTAGAAATCTTTATGAGCCCACAAGTTCTGGGACTCGCAGGAACTTCTACTCTTTACTTTTCCAGGATGGTGCTTACCATATAAAGCCACTACTGATCTAGGAGGACCCCTTACCAAAACAGAAGTCCTGCAGAGGAAATCAGTCCCTTCTGCTTTTGTTTCTAGAGTGTATTTATGAATGAGTTTTTCCAGAAGAAAAATCCTCGTCTAGTGGCAGGACTGGTTTCTGTTTAGTTATTTAACTACCTAAAGGTCATGGTCTTTGTTCTTCTCTTTTCTCACATCTTCATCTGTTTCAATTATTCCTCTTTCACATTTAGCCACATTCGCACATCACTATTCTCCACTGTCCTCTTTTAACAGAAACTCACATACGTCAAAAGGGCCTTATGTAATGCTAAAAAGCCCACTGGCCACGTCAGGTCACAGAAGCATAAAAAGCAGCGTTTGAAGATATTTTGAGAGGCTGATGCTGCACTCCCCATGGCAAGGTCAGCTATGCCGACACCATCCTTAACAGCGGTCTGTTAATCTAACTCTTAAAAGCTTCCCAGTGATAGAGTTTGCATCTTTCCTAATCAAGTTATTCTAGCTTTACACAATTCCTTTTGCTAGATACTTTGACTTTACTGTCTGCTTCATTTATTCCCGTGACGACTCTGTCACATGAGTCTTTGTAGCTAACATGAATGGAAGTTCTGACTTTCCATGCAGAAGGCAAGTTAAAGCCAATATAACCAATCTCCAACAATTCTGGACACCTCTAAAAGGAAATCAATGCGTGCCAGAAACGGTAGACCAGGCTATTTCATTTTATAAAGCATCCATTTGACAAGAAAAAAATATTCTTGTGAGGTGGGAATACAGCCAGCCTTTCCAATATGCATGATAGGCTTTGTAAATAAGGACCTGTAGCCCCAGACTCTGCCACCAAAGTTTTGCATGTAACAGCTGCTCTAACAGAACCCAAAATGTGTAAATTGCACATGAAATCCTAAAAACGTCCCAGCTGACAGTGGTGACTCCTGGGCTGCAGTGTCTTCCTGTCCTCGCTTTGACAGCTCCGTTAAAAACCCTATCACAAAGATAGGGTTTTTAGTAGTAACACTGAAGACTAAGTGGAAGATTATTTGATACCGGACAACAATTGATGTCACAAGCTATTTCTTTGGTAAGCGTTGGGCCTATGGAGCAGGTAGTAGTTCCCCAACTTTGGGCCAGGAAGGAGAGACTTAACCTAAAAAACAGACATCTGCTTTAAAATTCTGTCTCCTATTCACAAAAGCTATTCCTGCTTCGTATCTATGATTAAAAAAAGAAATCACAACTTTATTACTGAAGAGGGAACAGACTAGATGGCAGGAGCTGACAAAATGCCACATTATTTGCTAATCCTAATATGTTATTCTTCTTTAAGATTTGCTTTTCTCAGCACCAATTCAATTATAGATGCTACAAATCCTTCTGACATTTAATTCCCTCATGTCAGTAGTAAATGTATACATGCAGAGCTTTCCCATTAAGATGTTAATATATACTAGAGCATGCTGGCCTTTAAATCGAATATTCGAGTTTTTCTGCTATGGTTTTATTTTTTGTTTTGCTTTTTTCTTTCTTAAGGGTGGGAGCGGAAGGAAGGGAAGATATGCAAGAAGGTAAGAAAAACAAACATACAGACATCGCTGCATGTTGTGAACCACATGCAGACCTATTTTGCTACTCTGCAGCTACTTTGCACTTCAGTCAAATCAAATTTCATAGGGTGGTGCTTTGGATTATATCAAAGCACCTTAAAGGAAAACTGCAGTGATCTGGTACAACCCACTTCAGATAACAGAATACATGTGGGAAAAAGCAATTTTGTTTTTAAACTGTTGCACCATTTCCCTTGAGTGAATACTGCGATTGTGCCTTGAATTAGGGGGACGTCATAATTTACCTAATGCAGCAGTGAACTTCTCTGCATGAGATGCAGAGCAACGTAAAGCGGCAGAGCGCACTGTGATCCCATTTAAAATTGTGGCCAAGACTTCGGTAGCTTTAAATCACTGTTAACTTCATCAACAAAAAGAAATTATAGCGCTCAAATAAAAAAAAAGCCTGAAGTTTTCCTTTAAACAAAACGGTGTAATTCATAAAACATTACGTACACACCAAGTAAATGCATTTTTGACCGGTTCCTGTTTGACACCATACTAAGTCAGGTGACTTATTTTTAGAATCTTGAGCAGAATAAATTAAATACTTAACAGCATACACACAGCAGACTCCAGTCTGTCCAGTTTCATCTCTGCCTACCTGTTTTCCAGGCTTAAGGAAAAATCCATAGCGGTCTCACTTTTACCTCCTGCGAGAAGGAGGGCAGACGACAAGAAACGATAGTTGTAAGCACTAATATCCGATTATGTAAAATGACTCAGGGAAATCGTAATAAGGAACACAGAGCAGACGTTCATGCTGGTTATTTTTCATGTAGATATCATTCCCAACTAACATCTGAATTTTAAACCTGTGGGGGTTCTTAGTTTCTTTCTTTCTTTTTTTTTTTTTTTGGCATTTCTTTTTAAAAAGAAGAAATGTACAAGGGAGCTCAAGTTTTCTAAAATGATTGCAGTTGTAAATGTTTAAAAATAGCTAGTTTATCAAGGACTGTCTCAAGAGCATGAAAAACGGCTGGCAGATTTTTAATAGTAATGCTCTAACAATGTGGGTCAAGCACTAAAGCAAGGCTTCGAATGTGGAAGGGCTATCCCAACAAATGGAAGGGTTCCCCCCCCCCCCCATGACTCAATAAAAAAGTTGTTTCAGTTTTTAATGGGGCTCTACATATATGTATATACACATGTTTTATATACCTAATATACGTGTGTGTGTGTATATATATATATCTATATCTATAAAATGTTCTAGCTCTCACTTTTTATAAGTGGCAGCATGTCAAGATTCAGAGAAAGACTAGACTGGACAAGGCTGACTTTACCTGCCATTATTTTAAATCTCAATTGTATCTGACTTAAAAGTGTGAGACCTATTAAGAACAAATTGCTTTATTTTTAAAGCCTGCAGCAGAGCTGAAAAACTCCAGACTGACCAACTTCAATCCTCAGTGAGTTTCAGAACCAGGTCATCTAAAGCTCAAAGAGCCAGGTTTATAATAGGCTTTGTCAAAAAAAAGCCCTCTGCGCACAGAATCATCCTCAAGTGCTTCAAGGCAATAGCTGGACAGTGGAGAAAGAAGCAAAGCTGGTTCCTTCCCTCAGGATTTGAGGTTGACCTCCAGCACGGACCCATTAGGTCAGGCTCACCTTTAGGACAATTTCTGGTATGATTATTATTTCAAACAATGTATCTCACCCTTTTCCCTTTGTGCTCCCACACAGTTTCTGACTAAGGCCCTATTCTTAAACACCTGAAGCATGATATTAGCAAAGCACTTAGAGACATAACCTATCCCATATTGACACAGGAACCAGTGTGTTGCGCTAACAGTTCAATGGACCTGCCGTGTGGGAGTTCCTGTCTCCCTCCTCTGCCCTTCATCTTCCTTCCTACTTCACGTTTTGTAGACTAGCATTTTACAGCGTTTTGGAGCATCTGTGACAGCTCTGAGGCTTATTCTATGCACATTTGCACCGTAAAAGCAGAAAACTGATGGAGCTTTTTGGGAGCACCTAAGATGGCTGTTAATTTTGACATATTTGGATTTACTGCTGCATTTCCACAGAATTTTTGTGGAATAGTAGGTCTTCTGTTTCTTGGGGAAAATTAATTTTAAGCTATGGATGTAGAACAAGGTTGGGTACCCGTTAACTCCATTAATAGCTACAATGCTTTTCAGATGTTACTGCAATGTTTGGATCATGTGAGGGAAAAGAAAACCTAAATTCTTTTCTTTGAAGAATTCCTAATTTGGCATTCTTTTTTCTCTAGTTAAAGTTTGAATTTATTAAGCAAAAATATGAGAATGACTTAGGCTCCCATATCTCATTATTGGCCATGATTTAGGTGTTAATGACATAAGTCACTCGTGTGCTTCTGAAATACTGATAAGCCAACTATTCCTCTCTGCTAACAGTTAGGAAATTTCAAAGAAAGCGAGCACCAACAGTTGCCCAATCAAATTTCTTTTTAAGATTTGCTGGCCAATTTTATTTTGTGGGAAGAAGTTTCAGAAATCACCCAAAAAGGCCAGTGACTGGAGCGGTACTAGAATACATGTGTTGAGGGTTTTTTGGCGAGCAGAACAGAGGGAAGAGGGGGTTGCCATTATTTCAGAAACTATAAAATATTTATCTACAGCCTGGGAAGGCAGAAATCACTGCCCTGTATATGACAGGATGAATGATAATGTTCTTCATTACTGTAGTTCAGCATTAAGTGTGCTATCCCTACTCTAATTTATTGATGGACTGTTAAAAAGTAGTGTTAACCTGTTTGTCATATTATAATTGAATTTGGTCTAATTTAAATCTAGAGAAATTCAAGGAATTCATCTTTCTTCAATCAATAAGGTCCCCTTTGGTGACCCATTTCAAGATCGCTTCATTAAAAAATAATGCATTTTGTTTTAATAAATTTTATCACTATGACAGGTGCTCAATGTTTATTGGTTGTTTCTTCAGACTTCTCTCTGCTAGAAAATGGAGCCACTCTTGCAGTCAATAGTAATTGATTAATCAGCGTCCCCCTTGAACAAAGGTGCTAATCAGGTTTTGATTAGTTAATCAAACCAGATGTAAAGGCTACACAGGCCTTTCTTGATTGTTCAGTGTTTTACAAGATGCGTGTCAACACTGTTGAGCAAAACAGAAAGACCACAATGCGCCCAAGGGAAGCGTATGCGCGTACGCATGCATACACATCCATCAGCTTGGCCTAGGACTTGTGACTGAGAGCACTGCAGGTGTAACACTGTACTGGGCTGAAAGAATGCTGAAGAAGAAGAAATCCATCTGTGTTGCCGAAGTGCAGGACAAACCATTCCTATACAGTAGGATCCTTCTGTTACGAACAAAAGGCTCGAGTGTGGTACGGACATACACAGCTCAACCGGCAAAAGTTAATACACCACTGGAAACTAGCTACCTGGATATAAGGCAATAGATGCATTACTTAATTGTACAGTTGGCAGAGCCTCCGTTGAACCATATAGCAGGATAGGAGCACCTGAAATGAACAGCACACTGAGCAAACACTGCAGCAGGACGAACACATTTAATTATACTACATTTCAACAGTAATTCACAGTTGAGAAGGCATTCCTATTCAGTTCCTGGGGCAATCTGAGGGGGGAAGCCTCATATGCTGAATGCTGGCTCCCAACACCCATGCGTATGGCAAATGAGACCGAACTTACTCCAGGAGCGGGGCTTCAGGGGAGCAGAAAGGGGCAGTATTTTTGACAAATAGCTCAGCTGCAGAACTCACCTGTACTACAAGTCTGACGGCTCAAATTTGCTGACATCAGTTCACAAATAGGATCTTATTTCAGTTTCTCAGAAGTCTGGCCATGAGTTACGCGATGGAGGATACGGTTTTGTTCAGAGTAGAGAACGGTGGGGGGCCGTTTCTCTACTTTGCAGCAACACTGGCATGTTTGACTTGGTATAATTCCCTTTTGGGCATACATACATAACTGAGATAGCAACAAGCAAAATTTTGAAATTCTTAGAAAAAAAAACAGTATTTGGAACTGATGCTCCAAAATGGGTGTATGTTAGTGCACAAGGATACTTGCCCACCTGCTTGACATGGGGACAGCAGATGTGCTTGCACTACACTGTGTAAAATTTTAAGGTAATTTTGCCTTACATTTGATATTCACAAAAATAACAAAAATGAAAAAGTTAACAACTTATCAGAAACATGCTAGCCATTCAACACATCCACAACCTTTTGAGAAAAGAGAATGTGTCACTGACTGCAGTGAAAGGGTTACAGCAAAATTAAACATTATAATCCCCCCGCCCATCCCCCAGGCAGTCAGTACTGTCCATTTCTCAATGGCATGCTACACTTAACTTGTGCTGCTACCACAAAGTTGAGAAAGATTCACTTAAGGGAAAGACAGGACTGCTAGCAGACACCCATTTTGAGGAATTCCTTTGTGGAATTGTTTCTCGTTCTTCTGTTCATTCACCAAAATGTGTACTTTCTTTAAAAAAATACAAATAAAAAAATAAAGCTTATCAGAGCAAAACAATTATTTTCCATCCACACAGTGATATTTAACAGACACCTAGTGCTTCTTACCGACAAGGTGTGGCCCAGGCCTGCAACAATAGTCATTAGTATTGCTCAGGTGTTAGAATACATGCTAAATCAATTAATCATTTCTAACCTCTTGGCCAAAGCATACCTATAGTAGCTCAGAGGAAGAGATGCTGCTAATTTGATTAGAGAAAAAAAGCATGTCATGAAAAAGCATTCTTTTTGTTCTTCTTCAGTTTTTAAACCAGAAAAAGGAGCAGTGTTGGGTTAAAGATGTTCTTCTGGTCGGGCTTTTCTCTGTGCTCCCTTTGCTCCTTAGGAGCAAGGAATCTCTCAAGGGGTGCGGAGGGGGATGAGTGTTACTTCTTTGCAACTCCGTCTTGGGCAAGGCCTTGTCCCGCTGCCTGAAGGGGAACTTGTGCAGCCCACTTGGGTTATTTAAAAGTCCCACATGATTAAGTTGGCAGACATTTGGCCTCAGAACTTGCATGTTATTAAGGCTCGCAGCCAGACAACGGTTAAAACAGGTCGGCAGAGAGACAATAAAAACTGGGAAGCACAAAGGGCTAATTTCTAAAAGTACTTATGAGGAGAGCTTCTGACAACATAGGAGGACCAGACAGGTACAATATGTCTGCACCGCAGATATAGCCCATGTTTTGAATAAACTGATTGCCCCAAATCATCCACTCAAAATGTGCTTATTTCTTGACCTAAATTAATGCTTATTTTCAAGGACCAACCGCAAAGATGCATTTATGCAACTTTCAGTCTACTGTGGATATAAAAAAGATTCATTTCATTTAATTGAATTTGCCTCAGATGATAGAACTATTACATCCTTTTTATTCCCATTCTGATACTCATGTCATGAAGTGTTACCAAGCAGCTTTGATTTGCTGCAGGCTGCATTTTTATGGACAGTTGCATAGATTACAGCAGTGTTGTGTTTTACAAACAAAATTTCAACTCAACCGTTCTCTACATTTAGCGTTCAAAAAACGATCTCAAGCCACTGAAGCCACAGTAGCTGGTAGACAACCTGGAACGTAAATCATTCTGCTTTGCATACCTCCCACTCAATTTTCAAGTATGTTTTTCTGTATAAAAGAGTGCCAATATCAAGAAAGGGAGGAAAATCCCAACAGAGAAGAAGCATACTTCTAAGTGGAAAGACTCCACATCTGAGTCATGACTACACCATAGCAACTATATAATGCAAAATGGCCAAGATGCAGAAATTAAAGTGAAACCAGTATCTAAATTTAATAGTAGTGCTTTACCTAATTACTAGCCCTTACCTGAGAGATCCCCATAGTCCAGCTCCTCTGCGGAATTTGGCAACTGAGTAAAGCCTTACAAGTAAAAACAAACTCATTTTTCTTTGTATTCCTCAAGTGACAAAAACAACACACTTAAGAACTGAGGACAAATTTCTTGGGGGGGGAAAAAAAATGAGTCAAACACTTGCCATCTTCCGATGGTTTGAGCAGATTAACTTGTAATACAGTTCTCCAGTCATTTACTTCATTACTGATAGACTGTCAGAAACATTCCTCAGTCTACACTGTTAACACATGAAACATGTAGGTGAATCAAAATCACTCATTCATAACAGCATGCAAAAATCCCTAAACTCAGTCTTTTAGCTATCATAGGAGGGCATTTTCTCAACTTATGCCAGAACTATTTAATATATATAAGTATCAGTGCAAAACCTTTCTTCCAATTTTCAACAGAAATCGAAATTTTTTGTCAATGTTAACAAGCACCAAATTTACCGGTTATTAAATATTGTGGATCACTTTTCAAAACTGTAAGGCATCTGCACATGCAGATGGCAGGCTATATCTTCTGTGATTAAATGAGAAAAAATTTTTTTTCATTTCCCAAATTTGATGCATTTGCGGAAAAAGAATCTATCCTCAAAGCTGATAAAGCAGTTGGACGTGGAAAAGTCTTTTGACAAAGGCAACTAACATCGTAAGGACATGATCTGTTATATTTTGTTTGAAAAATGTTGCCGGGGTCCACAGGAGGACAGAACATTTAGTTTAGTGAGGACAGTCTTACCATTTACCACTTTATTTACGCTGACACTTTTCAAAGGTTACAAGGCAAAACAAAGTGCCTGAAGGTCAGAGAAATCTATTTAATTAAGGGATAATACACACTGTTACTAAAGAAACCAGTGCTTGCAATCAATTACTCTTGCAGCTGCCTGGATGCTAAAGCTCCAATGCGAAACATGTTGTTATTGAAGAAAAAAATACTTTCATGAATAGACACTACTGTCAATGCTCATTTTGGAAAACCGACACTGGAAGCTTGATGACTGGTTAAAATCCTCAAGTGCTGGGTCAACAATTCGGGAAAGTTTCAGAAGAGGAAGAAGCATACAGTCAGCAATCAGTTGATATATCAAGTGGCAGCTAAATATGCACTCCATACTAGCAAAATATCTGTAAAATGAATCAAATGAAAGCTATCGAATGTAGATCTGCATTCTGGACTTATGATATGTGGTAGACACACTCAGAGGTGTTCAGTTATTACACACTGGCAACAACACGCCCATCGTAGTTTTAACGTGCTGACAAATAAAGCCAGAGAATGAGTTCCTCATAGCTACGGGGGCTACGGAGCACAGACAAAATTTACCTGCAACCTAAAAAATGAACGGGCACTGAGGAACAATCTCTCCCTCCGCTTTATTTTTTTACATTTGGAAGGGGAGTCAGCAATAGAGGTCAGAGAGATGTAACTTTGCTAGGCTTTCTTTTAAATGATTGCTATGTTAACATGCACAGTTATCACCCATTGGAAAGCAGCAAAAAATATCTATAGCTCGTTAAAAAATAAAACTCATTTTCAGTGACAGTCTTTAAAATGCATCAAGTCATCTGGAATCTGGTCTGAATTATCTTCTAAAATGGGAAGGCATTTAGATTAGTGGCAATAAATTTGTTTTTGCACCACTACTGGATTTCAGGAAGCCACCCATTTTTGCCATAATATAGTGTATAAATGCAATTAGGGTTGACTCACAGAAGCATTGGACATGCAAACCTGTGCTCTGAGGAGGAGCCATTCAGGTTTTATCTCCCTAAAATTGCTTCTGTACAGTCTTCTCTTTCACGTAAAAGAAACTACATTTTCTCAATAATGAAAAAGGGCAATGTTGCATTTTTTATGAAGCAAAAAAAAAAAAAAACCCACCTTTTTTTCCAAGAGAAAATTTAACAATTTAACAATTCAGTTTCTACCTGCACCTAGTATACTTTAAAATGTCACTGAACAGTATTAAAATGTGTTGTGAGGCATTTTAAATATGTAGTAAATTACTTCTTGATTTTTCTCATTAAACTTTCATATCAGCTATTAAAGTCCCTTCTTTTCACTTCTGATTAGAATGAATTTGAAGTCTGCTACAACTTCTTTTAAATAAATGAAAGCTAGCTTTTCGCTCAGATACAATTTCCCTATCAAATAATAAGTCTTAAAAGAGTGCAACCAACAAACTGAGTTGCATCTCCTACAGACTGATACACGTGTTTAAACAATTAAATGAGCACAATATTTATTTACACAGATTTATACTGACAGAGTAATGCTTTGTACTTCTGCAGAAGTTACCTCTAATTTTAAAGCAAAATATAATTTCTCTCTTTTGTATAAAATCGTAAATAACTCATTATGGATTCTGTTGTGTGTTGTGTATTCTACAACACTAAACAGAGATCTTAAAACATGCACAGGTCTTTGTGAGGTTTTGTCCAATTGCCCCAAGGATTAAGTGTGTAAAATGTATTTAGAAATATTTTTACTATTAGTGGCACTTTTAAGTAGGACATTTCTAAAAGGAAAAAGTCAGTTGGACAGTCACAACTGCTTGATAACATTCGTGTAGAAAGTACCGAGGCATTTTTTCCTTGCATGCTGTGTAATTTGGCAAGATTTGCAAACTGACTAGTGTTCTGGCACGGCTGAGCTTTTGGCTTCAGCTTGAGACAAGGTGAAACTAATTTTCAGAGACTGAGCACTATTAGAACGGTAGTGTTAAATACTTTATACAAAACCTGGTTAAGATCATAATTCAAATTCCATATGGGCTTTCTGGGAAGTATTTCCTGCTTGTAAGGTAATTTCTCTGGGTTATGCTATGGACAACATATTTTCTTGTCACTCTTCATTCTTGTTTTGCATATTTTCATAATAATCTTTACTACTAAATCTTCCTGCTTTGCCAGCTTCAGAGGACATTTTTTTCACCTTATCTTTTCATCAGTATTAGCAGAAATTCTGCCCATGCTAAAATAGCAACATCTTGTTCCTACCTCAGTGAGGGAGCTGAAATGCAATTTTAAGCTCCCCCTGTCATCCAAACACTGAGTTAAGGTGCCTCTTTGCAACATGTATGTTGTTTGCAGGAATCTTCAGCTGAAGGTCATCTTAGTGTTCGTATACATAGACGCCCAAAAACATACAAACATAATGTATGTAGCAAGTGTAACTAATTGCAATGGGCATTGTCGGTGGTTTTTCAAAAACATTAAAAAGCCACTTGAGCTCTTTGCTTATAATAGGCTGGAGTCAACTTGGAAAATAATTATGAAATTATTTCATTACTTTTGCTGTAGCAAAAGAAGTCAGCATTATAAGGTCATGGCTTTTTATACATGTTTCTTCTTGTATAGGAGACAAAAAAATGAATTAGTCCCTCAGAAAAAAATTCTTAAAGGGCAGGGACCAGATAAGGCTAAGCTCCACAGCCTGCTAAGGAGTAATAATGTTTGAGAAGTTCAGCACTTATATTTTCATTTTTAGCAGGGAAAGGGTAGGAGAGAAGAAAAGAAAGGGAATGGCAAATTCAGTGGTGGTAGGTGTTCAGAGACATCACTGTCATTGCTACACCAAGTTCAGCCCTTGCATTGACTGCACAGAGGCAGGGAATCGAGATTTCAAAATGCACCAGTGCTTCAGCCTCACTGGCACCCTGACACCATGAAGTGCAAAAGAAAAGGGAGGAAGGGTCTTAAATTCAGTAAACCCAGTTTACTGCAGTGCAGCAGAAGCACAAGCCTTCCTGCTGGCCGTGACCATGCTGTTATTGGAGTTCTGGCAATGAACAGTGCAGAGAAAGGAGAAAGTGCATCAGAAAACTTAGAGTTAAGCTCTCATATTTAAACAAAAGAGTTAATGTTCGTGCTTTAAGTCACTCATGCATTGCTGCTGTTAATTCCATTCCATAAGGAAAACAGGAATGGCAGGGGTTTTGCTACCATTTTTACATGCATACACATACAGGACTCCTTTTCCCCCAGTCCTCTAGGATACACTCCAAAAAATTAAATTACTCAAAAATCCTTTCCCAGATTGAAGTATTGTGCTGGTTCCACACTAGCCTTACATTTCATTTTCTTCGTTATCAATCTGGTGTGCTGTCCCCGCCTCCCCCTCCAATTCATTTAAAATTGTTTTTGGAGAAAATCCATTTGGCTTTAGTTCATGCCCATGCATTTCTAGTCATTCACATACATGCTCACTCCAATTGGACATTGGTAAGAACAAATGGCCAACATACATAAACACCTGGTATACTCCATACACACTCCAGCAACACAAGCTTGGAAAGAAATCCAAGAGTCTTCATGGGAAAAGAACCCCAAGAGGACAAACGTAGTGGAGTTCAGAACAAAACAGGCTGGTTTTTAAGGCAGAAAAGTTTGTCACAGCTAATTTGACTAGCGTTGCTTGTCATTTAAGTTGTCAGCCTCATCACAGAAGCCGTCCTCCCACACAGAGGTTAAAAATCTTCAGACAGAGGTCTTCCTTGGATTAAATACGTGCTTTTTATGGCTTTTCCGAATATAAGGAAAACTGATCAAACCCATCAGGAACTGCATTAAAGGAAAAGGTATGGACAACTTGGCTGCAATGTTGCATTTTCCCCTTCTGCATCATCCGTCCTCTGTGAGCACTTCACAACAACCATGGCTACAGTGACAGCTCTGATCCTTCCGAGTTTTACTTCATACCAGTCTAGGTTCTTCCAAAGGCTAAAGAAAGTCTTGTGGCAGAAAAGGGTTGCTGAAACATTACACAGAAGTGCTGTCAGGAGTCGTGTTAGCATCAGAACTGTCCGAGCTTTCTCCAGCTTAGGAACTAACATCTCTATCTGTGCATTTCTAGGTTTATCTGATAAAAACAGAAAGATGGAATTGTGCCACTTTCTAATGTTGCAGTCTGCTTTGTTCTTCTAACTGGATACCTCCACCTGCTCTTTGCGAATTCTAGCACTGCAGGCACAGCAACTCAGCCAAACGGAAATACTACGGCAGCGAAGACTCTGGCCTGACAACTCTGCAGTCAGATACTCTCTGCCTCAAAACGCTGATGAATTTCAGTGACCTTGTGAACAAATCGGTATGACACAAAGCATCCGCAAGTATTAGTATTACAGGGGCAACTGACAAAAATGGAGACCGTTTGGCTTACTTTCAAACTACACCCTGTCTCTTTCCTGATCTTGCTGATTCTTTCAGATACTTGTAGATTCTTTCCGATACGGCTAATCTGTGACTTCCAAGGGCAGTCAGACTCTTACCACCTGAAGGAGTGAAATTGAGAATACCTGTCTCCTCATTTCAGCTGCAGCTCAGGAAACCACTGGCCAAATTTGCACAACCTCTGATAAGAACTTGTAACGCCCCATGTATTTGCTATAGACCTTCACTTATTCCAGGATTGGTATGGCCCCATCCTGAAGAGACATGTCCTATGCAACAGTCTCATCATGAAATCAGGAAAGGAAGAGGAAAAAAATAAAGGAGGAGAGGGGAAGACACTCGCACAGGACTGAAAATTTCTGTGGAATAGAGCAGCAGAGCCAACAATAACCCTGCTCAAAAACATCACTTTACTTGAGTGCCAGCTCAGGCGGTTTCCAAACCCTAAAACTCCTCCGCAAGTTTCCAGTGGAACTGCAAAGGCCTAAATCAAAAGAAAATCCAAGCAGTCAAACGGCATGGCAACATCCCCTATGGCCTGGGAGGAATTCTAAATCCAGCCCATTTAGTCACTGTAGGTAATACAGCAGGATCTTAGACTACTGGGATAAGTGCTTAATGAATCATCCATCTTTAATTACTCATGTCACAGAAAATAGTATCATCTACTTGAAAAATGCTGAATATTTTTATCTGTGTTTTCCTATAATTTTATTCTTAGTGATCAACCCTTTGCATGTTCCAAAATAATTCTACTGTGGTTTGAACATAAATTTCCCCAAACTACCGAGTTTGCTTTTCAGCTGTTACTTAACTAAACTCTGCTACCATATTCATACTCAGTTCTTCAAGGCTTTCACTACGGGTTGATGATCGGGCAATTTACATTTTAGCTTCATCTGACTGTTACAGTTGTTAATGTAGTGCATGATGACATGTCACTTGGACTTTAGTTATTACTTTGCAGTGACTTCCATTGCAGTAGCTATGAAATTATTTGCTTTTATATTGACAATACAGAATATAATATACATGGGGAGATCAGCAATGTATAGAAGACAAAAGTGTGCCTGAATGCTTTCATTTTTTAAAATGCATCCAGGCAGACAAGTTATTTGGTACAGGAACTGCTTTCCCCTCCTTTTCATATGCAGCAGCTCTGCTTAACCATTGCCTTACTCGGTCTTCCCGTCTGTCTATAATCAAAGATACATCTTGATGGGAGTAAGCAGAAAAAAGAGTCCGCATTATAGATTAGCCTGAAATACAGCTTAGTGTTAATTAAAATTGTCAGAGGTTTCAGCTATTTAGTTTAAAGGTAAGTTTGTGCCAAAAATCTGTATGCTCAACTTTCAGCCTGAAGTGATTATTTAAGCTTGCTTTAAAAACACAGGAAGCTATGGAAGCTGTCAAGCTGTTAGCTAGACTTACTTGAGCAGACGAGAAGGGTTAGTTTGCTAGACTGCTATACTGATAAGAAAGTGTTGCTATTTGTTTTTAAAATCTCCTTCTGCGGTGTAATAATGAAAAATTCACTCTTGACCTATGAGATGAGAGGTTCTTCTGTGGAACAGCTACAGAATACCAAAAATGCTACTCATCTGCAACAGACTTGGAGGATTCAGTTTCTCACAAAAAAAAGAATAACGCTGAAAATTTCATGCATCTCTTAAAAAATTAAATTTGAATTCATATTTTCAAAAGTCAGATTTCTTCTTATGTTTGAAATGATTACCCCAGCAAAAAGGATTACTTGAAAAAAAAAAATAAATCATTCGCTTCCTTTGTGCTACTCCTGTATGCATGTTGTTTCCATTGGGTTTTGGGAATTGGTACTTGCCTAGAACTGTAATAATTGGCTGTGAAGCTCACAACAGAAATGACAAGACTAAGCATCCTTTCAAGCCTTAAAAACTATGTTGTATTTATGAGATCAGTCCACTTGAACATGAATTTCCCTTGAAGACTACATTCCCCCTCCCCTTTTTTTCCTTCTCTCCTTCCCCTTCCCAGGCTTGTCTTGCCACTCAGCAGTGCTGAGAAATAAGATAAACAGGAACGTGATACCAACCGTGAACTGCCGGTTCTGTCGTCGCCGTTGTGTCTACACACGGGAACAGAGGATTGGAGGAAGGGAAGAAACAGGAGGAACAGCATGCAAAAAAAGGGAAAATGGAAAAAATGGAACAGATAATATATGAGCAAGCTTTCAAAGAACATTGCGTGACAAGCAATAATAAAATGAAAGGCAAAAAGCATTTGAAGTGAGTTGCACTGTTTAGAAGACATGCCTCGAGTTTAAAAGCTATAAAGCCTGAGGAAAACAGTAAATTTTGCATTTTTTCCAGGAGCCTTGGCAGCAGGACAATTACTGGTGGTTGCAGAGTTAGGGGAACATGAGATGGGGGGGCACAAAGCCAACTCTTTAGTTGGTAAGTACCAAACAGAGGCTCAAGACTAGGACAAGAGAACTAACACCTGAAAAATAGTTTTCACACATTCAAACATTGCCTTCACCAGAAGGTTCCCTCCAGGGACCGCTCCAGTTACCCGATTATAAGTTAGAGGTCACTGAATGAATGAGTTTCAAAATTTCTTCTCCTCCTTCATCCAGTGCATGAAACTTCCAAGCACTTTAACACATGGCCTAACTTCTGCATCCAGATCATTTTAGAGTTGGGAAGCAGATGATAAAAATGAAAACGCTCTTAGAACTCACCCGTCTAGTATTCTCATAGTGTACTAATTGCATAAGTGGCCTTTTTGCCTTGGCTATAATGAATCATGCACCAACAAGACGCATGATTTTTCCAGGTAAAATAAAGTTATTCTAGAAAGCACAAGTGCGAGTAGCTATCATCAGTCTTTCTGCTGAGAAACACGTTCTGAATTCTGGACACTAGCCTCAGTTTTCTGTGCTAAATCCTCAGGTGAAAATTATCATCTTTTTTTATTTTTTATTTTTGAAGGTGGCTAGAAATTATTTGTAATTCAAATACACTAGTTTTGTTAAATTGAAGCTGACTCTACTTCCTATTTATTGCCTGCCACAGGATGTTTCTTGGAGCTGCTACCATGACGTTTCATCTCTTTACAGGCTTTAGGAACAGGCAGTTTTAGAGACTGACCCCAATTCGAAGGTCCTTCTAAACAGCTCCATTCTGACAGTACCCTATGTTATTTTCAAACTCTTCCATACTAATGGGTCCAATCACATTTCATTCACATTATCTATAGTACTGACTTATTTGACAGATTTATTTCTTAGTTTTAACCTGGTTCTACATATCTTCTTTTCTATGATGAACACAGCATTTCCTTTTATCACATGCACGTGCTGGGCTGCCTCTTCAGAACATAACCGTAACTCTGCAAATACCTACAGCTACTCTGAAGCGGTCAGTAAAACCTAGATGCGGTCATTCGCATCAAAGGCAGGGTTTCACAGAACTCTGCTTGGTTCCATGCAGGCAATGTCTAAATGAGTAAAAACATAAATGTAGAGAAGCGCTCTGCAACATATTTCTGCAAACTAGCCTAGACTTTTAGTTTTATAGTAACAATAGGCACTTCACATTGGCATTTCCCCTCAATTAAAGTGCCGTCCAGAGAACCCCAGGAATGGCAGTCTTTCCATACATTCTGAAGTAGCAGTGGAAAAATGAGGACCCATTCCTTTATAATTCAGCTGAGGACAGCCTGAGCCTGAATTTCTGGAGCACCAATGAAGACAAGAATCATACAAAAAATACACAATACTTACAGATACAAAGTCTGCATGCTTTAAAGATCAAAACAAATAAACCCTGCACAATTTAACAAACTACACGAAAATTTGCATAACAGATTATCAAGCCATCATTAGTCTGTTCCCACTGCCAACATATACTGTTCTCATCTTGGCAATCAAATCTAACACATACGTAAATATGCTAGCACTTGTTCTCATGCTGGGAACTCTGGTGAAGGCAGTAATGGAAGCCTTCCAAAACAAAAATGGGAACAAGAACAAGAGCGGGACTTTTTTTTTTTTTTGAGTAGCAATACCAAAATAATGCCTCATTTTAACCAAACAAATGGTGGTGGTGGTGGTGGGGGGGGAGGGAATGGTGGTGAAGACAGGGAGAGTTGTATTTAGAAAGAATTATAAAACTCAGTATTAATTCCTGAGATAGCATAGCATCTTGGCATCTATAAATAGTCTCAATTTACTGTCTTCCTGAAATAAAAAAAGTTATGTCAGCTTTTACACTAAATAGAAAATCTGCTGAAAGCAAACTTGTGTTCACGTGCTGGAAGAGATATTAGTCAAGAAACAGTGCAAACTGGACAGTGCATCTCGCTTCCCCATCTGGGGACAGAGACCAACAGGTTACAAAAAATAAAGTTTTCAAGCGGTTATAAGTGCGAACAAATATCCAAGTCAAACAACATGTTGGCTGCAGCTGGAATGATAAAGTTATGATTAGCAAATGGTTTGGATGATTGCAATAGGAAACACAGACCAGTTAAAGTTTAAAATGAATTTTCTGGAAGTCCATTTCAATCCCAGAGTCTTCTTTGAGAAGAAGGATTGTAGGTACACAGTGCACCAAAGAGGAATAATCTCATGTTAAAAGACTTGCAATAAAACAAAGAATCCCCACCACAGACACACTACTACAACAGTTGCATTACAAAGGAGAGAAACATTGTCACTGGTGCTTTGGTATGAAATTAATGAATATATGTAAAACGGCACAAATCACCTAAACTCTACCACTGTTCTGTTTTACATAAGGAGAAATATCCCAGACCCTACAAAAGTCAGTGTTAAGACACCCTATCATTTTAACATAGACCAGCTAACTTGAAAAGTGCTTTTTTGAATTCCAGATAAATGAAGTAAACGTAAGTAGCATTTTCAAGAATAATCACATTTATATGTCAGACCCGAAATATGGAATCCCAGAGGTTAGATTCCTGGTTCCCTGTCCCTGGTTCTGGAAGAAGAATCATGTCCCCCCCCCCCGAATGCAGAGTGACAAGAAAGTATTTGCTATGTTTCTGACTTAACTAAGGTTCAACAAAGCCAACAAAAAACTTTGCCGTCATTGAAAAGCACAGTTCTGGTTCCTAGCGACAGGCGTGAATCGCAATCACACAAAGTTTATGCTTATCATTTACAATGATTAGCTGGTGCTAAACAAGGGTCATTTTATGAGATGAGGCAAAGCAGAAAGGAGGTAGAAAGCCCATAAAGAGAGGTTCAATGTGGTACTCTTCATCCTAAGATAAAGATAAAACAAAGATGAGGCTTCTTTTCTTGATTTTAATCAAGAAGGCTCAAAATTTACTATATGCCAAGAAGTAAAAATAATGCAGTGGTCTCAAAATCTACATGTGCATAAATAGTTTTCACTAGATGACTGTTTTATACTTAGACTAAAAAAGAAGAGATTGTTGGCTTCAGTAAAGCTCCAGGTTTCACTTAATCGTTTCTTTTTAGTGTTGGTCATAAGGACTTGGTTTACTGTGGCCAGCTCTTGAGTAAAGGCACTAACACATGTCATGTTGTGATCCAGGTGATGTTATCTTTCAACTACGAAAATTCTGTCAACATTCATCTTTTTAGGCACCCACCACTTCACTAAATATCTACACACACGCTTTTTTATGTAAATGTGTGTGTGTATAAAAATTATATAATACAATTATTTGTAATATATATAAAAACAAATTACCGTATGGAGGCATCAGGATAAGATTTGAGTTACAAGCTCCACTGCTATGCCTTCATCTTTTTCATGTGGATTCTCTCCAACGTAAAACTGTTCACTGAGCGTGACAGACTCGGCCTTTTAAACTAATCCATAAATTAGTTCAATCTCAAACAGAATGAGCGCTACAGAGGAAAATTAAAATCCTAGTAACAAAATCAAATTCACGAAATTGAATGCTTATTTCTTTCTTGAGTTGAACTGCAGTTTTCCTGCCTCATAAAAATACACTAATACACTGGTGCTTAAAAATTCACCGCTATGGTAGAGTATTAGAATAGCATCTAATCCCCAAAATGGCAAAATACACATTTTATATATATATTTTTTTTATTTAAGGAGGTATAAATAAGTATAGATATCCACTCAGTATATTGTTTTCTCAACTAAAGACAAAAGCCAATCTGATAACTGATTTGTGGAGCTCAGTTCCTCCCAATTCTCTCTAGACTACTGCATGTTTACTGACCAGGACAAGCATGACTTCCTTAATGTTACTATTTTCATACCAGCCTTAAGTATCAGTGTTCAGCATTATAAACAGAAGATTAGTACTGCTTTATTTCAATTCCTTAAGGGTACTAAAAAAATTACAAAATCCTCTTCATTTCCATTGAACTAACACCCATTAGGTATTAACAGGTATGTAACATTTCAATTATGCTGCAAGATAGTGGTCAGAGGGACAAAGCAGCTCAAAATACTGCAAATCACGCAAAACTGCAGCAGTCCCTTCCCTCTCTGACTATTCCTCCAAAGAACGCGTGGAAAACGTACTTTGCATTACGATACTACCGGAGGATTCTCTGTAAAGAGATTCCAACCTGTGCTGAAAAGCTTTTTTTGCATGGGTATGTTGCAACGCACCCCAGAGACGGTCTAATTTGCAGACCAGATGTTTCACAAAAATAATCACAATCTGTATGGAAGTTGCGTGTGACAAGCACAAAAATATTTCTAAATTAGTACTGCAGTTCAGGCTGTGATTTTTAATGTTTTTTCCATAAGGCTCTGTAAGGATTTTGTGCCTATTCAGATTCCAACCTTGTAAATACAGCCATAAGCAAATACCATACCTACCCGAAATTTCACGGAAAAGTCCACAAGGCGCTATACTTGTATGGTACTCATTCACAACGTTCTCTTTGCTTAAACTGGACTATAAGTACCTTGTGTTTTTGAGCGATGGCTCCAACAACAATGCCAGGAGTCATACAAACACTTTGCAAACATTGACCTCTGCTATACTTTATGCTGATGCTCAGAGGGCATCTTCTCGCAGACAGGATAGGGTCCTCTCCACAGCTCCCTCTAGCCCTCCCTCTCTTTTCAAGACATGCAAGCT